CATAGCACAAGCTTCTTAGCCCGAGTTAGCTAGTATGGGCCAACTGTGGGTTTTAATTGCACTGTAGACATACCCTAAAATTTCATTGTGAACTTCCACTATGCAATGTCTTTATTCGCTCAAGGCTCTAGTTTCTCAGGCGAGAGGGTGCAGCACTTTGTATTAATTGCATAAGGACATAGCTCAGGACGAGTCTGCATTGACACTGGGCTTGGAGGCTTAACTTATTTATTAGTATAAATATTCTCACACTAACACTAAGTTACTTTTCTTTGGGAAGTCATGGCTCTATAGTAAACTAACAACTGCTTATTTGCATATATCCCTAGTCCATACCTTCATCTTCAGATAAAGCTGGTGATGGTCACTTCTCATTTTGCACCTTGAAGCACATGGCCAAAGTGAGGAATGTTAGTGAGAAAACTACTTTTCTTAGTGTTATAGCTCAGGGGTGAGGAACTTAACGCCCATCCTCCATGGGGTAGCTGGAGCATGCTAGCCTGGGCTCTCCAAGCTGTAGTATGCAAGGGGATTGTGGGGAATGTCTTTCTTCTTCCCAGTTGACCCACAGAAAAATCAGTCGGGGCCACATCACTGAGGGTTTTTTTTATTGCTTCTCACTTGTGTGCAGCCCCTGACTGATTTTTCTGTGGGTCAATAGTCCCCCGACCTAAAAAAAGGTTCCCTATCCCACTATAGCTGTACCTTTCTTCCTTCCTATTCCATCCACATTGTTACAAGACATATAAAGAATAAATCTTGCCCAACAAATTTGGACTTTTTTTATTTAGTGCAAAAGAGGAAAAGGTATCTACAAGTCTATCACATGGCCTGATGTTGTCTAATCTTAATGAACATCTCGACTGAAATTATCTGAAAGCAGGAGTAAAAAAACAAATTAATTTACAGATTATATTAAATTAGGAGGAGTTATGAGTACTAATCAGCACAAAGAAATGATACAAAGTAATTTAGAAATATTAGAATTGTGGGCACAAACCAAAATATCCCCTAGAAAATATAGCTGGAGAAAACTAATCCAGTAAACAGATAACAGAGGGAAGATTAAATAAATAGAAAACAGTAACACTGAAAGAGGATTGTATTTCTCTGTCCCCTCTGATATTGCAGAGTCTTAAAATGATATATTTTTACTAACAAACTATGTATATTTGGCTGAACATTAGATATAGAAGTTACTCAATGAACATTAAAAGCATCCAGATCTGTAAGGCTGAATTTTCTAAATCAGACACATAAGTGTACCAGTAAAGATTGCACATTGACATATTTCATATGCAAAACATGTATTTGCAATAAGATTGTAAAGTTGTTAAAGAACGGCCACTGTTTTTGACTTGTCTATAATCTGCTGAAGTACCACTTACCTCTATAGCACTGCATAATAGTCTATATTTTACACTGCATCTGTTTGTCTGTAATATCTGTCTGCACATCCCCAGTGGACACACTGCAGGATAGCTCTCCCTATGCGCTCGCTGTCCCCAGTGGCCACACTCGTACTATGGGCAGCGAGACCACAGGGGAGAGCTAGAGTGCAGAGGATACACTGGGGACAGCCGTACCACCAAGGGAGCGGCCAGCAAGGTTGGGGATCTGCTGTCTTGCCTATGAGCACACCAGGTAAGTAGTCTCCTGCCCCTAACCCTTTTCTCCCCCCCCCCCCCACCCTTTTCCCCCCCCCCCCCCCCCCCCAGCCTATGGCCGCAGCACTGGGGAGGAGGGAGAGAACAAGTTTCTGGTGAGCTGGGGGGCGGGGGGAAATGGAGGGCAGAAAGAACAAATGCATTGACGAGCTTAGGAGGGAGAGAACAGGCCCCTGGCAGGATGGGGGAAAACCTGGGGTGGGGGAGGAGGGAGAGGGGAAAAACACACCCCTGGTGGGCAGGGAGGCCCCCAACCCTGAGCCCCCTTCAGCCCCTCCAAACCCTCACTCTCGCACTCTTCCCGCCCCCAGCATCTTGCACACACACCCCACGTCCCCAAGTCCCTGCCATGAAAGACCCAGGCAATGCCGGTAAGTCTGCTTGTAATTAATAGATAATAAGAACTACAACACCACAATGGAAATTGTATATGCATCTCAATACTAGGTAAGAGAAATAAGTGTACCATAGCCTATAACTTTTTAAAATTATTCACTATACAAAGAAACTAGAGTAGAACCTCAGCATTATGAGCACCAAAGTTATGAACTGACTGGTCAACTACACCACTCATTCGGAACAGGACATATGCAATAAGGCAGCAGTAGACACCAAAAAATTTTTTAAAAAGAGAGCGCACATTTTGATATTCAAAAGGAATAAATCTGATAATGCCACATGTAAAAAGATACATCAGGGCATAATTCGGCATCTCCTCCTGATTCAGAGGCCCTGTAGCTCATCCTGCCCCAAGCTGCTGAGAGAAAGGGAGAGGAGTACTATATGAAGTTATTTTGTTTAAAAAAAATCAACTGTAAAAACATTTTGGATGCTTCAAATTTGCTGTCTGTTGATGTGAAATTTCTCTATCATATTAATTTTTTGCTTGGATGTTGGAGAAATCTGAACTGATAGTTTTACTTTCAATGTTTTTTCAACCTCAGGTGTGTTTATCTGTTTTGTAGGACCCAGGCACATTTTATCAGAGAATACTGTTTATAAAAACATTGTGTTGATTTTAGTGTTTATTCTTTTTTTTGGGTACAACATTCTTTAATATTTCTCCATGAACTATCTTTCTAGGGACACCACAAGCAGCAGATGCAGAATAATATATACAGCATTTCTGACAGCAATATATACGTTTAATACAAAAGCAGTAACATATATATAAATTAATGCAGAAAACTAAGTCTTATTCCAATAAAACTATTAAATGTAGTGGGTGGCAAGAGAGAAAATACATTAAAGTTTATTGTTTTGTATGCCTGGACCTCGGAATCCTCCTCCATCCTCCTCACAAATCATAGACAATGTTACATTTCAGTGGCACTGAGAATGAGAAAACTGCATAATTATGGTTACATATAAATGACCTGACTAAACTAAAACTTTCAGTAATATTGTTACCCTTCTTAATAGGTTTGTGGATGTACAGAAAACGTATTATTTAACACAAAAAGCAGCATGTGTAAAGTTTAAACTTATCTTCTGTGTGTGCTATTTGGACACTATTATTCTTTAGTACTTACTGTACACTTCAATAGGAAAGGAATACTAGAGCTGAAATTCTGGCCTCAATACAGTCATTGGTAATTTTGGTGTTAACTTTAATAGAGACTGGATTTCACCCTGGATGTTTAAGTGGTGTGGATTCTTTCACAGAGAAGGAAGCCAATGTACATTTAGTCACGTTGCTTGCATAACAGCATTTCCCTGGTAAATCTCAGATGGTCCAGATTCACAAATACATCACTTGAATTAAAACACTGCATTTTTCAACTATAATGGTGAGCAAAGAGACCTTCCCATACAAGTTTAAATTTAGTTTTCAGGCTGAAAGACCTTCAACACTGAACTGTCTCACCATTTCATGTCAACTTAATGCTTAGCAAAAGTACTAGTGGTTTGTAGAATGAACTCTAACATGAACAGACCAAGTGCAGCAGCTTAAGCAACAAAAGTGTCTATGCCTTTGCAAACTGCCCAACCAAACACACCTTGACCATGACCTTAGGGGTCCACCTCTATGGGTCAGGGCAGCCCTTGGCCTGTAAAGCTAAAAATTATATTTATTGTTGAATGGGGTGTTCATTTGAGACACATGGATTCTTTTCCAGTAGTAACTGGATTGAGACAACTCATTTATTTGACATAAAGTACTACATTATGCCTTTGCAAACTGCCCAACCAAACACACCTTGACCATGACCTTAGGGGTCCACCTCTATGGGTCAGGGCAGCCCTTGGCCTGTAAAGCTAAAAATTATATTTATTGTTGAATGGGGTGTTCATTTGAGACACATGGATTCTTTTCCAGTAGTAACTGGATTGAGACAACTCATTTATTTGACATAAAGTACTACATCCGTGGTCCCCAACACGGTGCCCGCCGGCGCCATGGCGCCCCCGGG